CAACAGGTTAAGAAACTCTCAAGCATTTGAAATTCATCAGGAGATCAAAGTCTTCTAAATTCAGAGGAGATAAAAGCCTATGGGGTAAACTCTCAGAGGAAAAAGACACTATTGCCTCTTAAACACAAAAAAGTCCGTGAAGCCTCAAGTAAGAGTTCTCTTGCCTAAAACCAAAGTGCGATCAGGAAATTTGCTTGCACAAATTTTATTTGCTCTGATAGTACAAGAAAAACACTCTACACTCTGGCATTTATTACCTAAGCCTACTCTACACTTATTACTGACTAAAATGTTTTAGGAAAGTTTTCAAAAATAACTCAGTCCTTGGCACCAGATAGCACCATTTTTCTCTATAATCTCTCTCACCATTCTTCAAATTTTATGGAGAATTCCAAAACACAAAATTAAGTCACAAGTTTGAGCAGGAAAGAGGATTCACAGAAATGCCAGGTAAGTCAAAAACCTCCACAATTGGTTATTTGTTTATTCTACAGTAAATTTGGAAAAATGAGGTCTGATAACCTCTTTAGCATAATCCAGAGCACTCTACTTTTCTAAAAAATGAAATATTTTCATTCTTCCAAAAAACATAGCTACCTCATATAATAAACCAAAATTTAATTCTGATTTCCTCATCATCATTAAAAAATTATTCTAATTCAAGAAGTTTCTCAAATGTCTTTCTAAAATGATACTACCCTATATATGGAAGAGGGAAGACACACAAGGATCCACTTTTAAACAATCTGGATATATCTATTTATTTTAGTCTCCACCAAAATATCTGGGAGTGAAGACTTTTCAAGACTGTCAATCCATTAGCAAAAAGTATCCAAATAAGTATTCCTGAGATCACTAAGCTTTTTATGGAAGCAGTATAGCCTTTGTAGGCAACACAAACACACCTACCAAGTCAAAATAATTACCCTGCCAACTTCTCAAATGAACAATATTTTAACAGGATCAAAAGCTGGCAAAATGCCTGCCAGGGGAGCAATCACAATGAAGGCTGGGTTTTCTTACAAGCATGCTGAAGTGCACTGGTCCTTAGCTGTAGTGAAAGGCAGCGTCCTTGTGTACTTCGGTGTCAAAAAGTGGCAAAAACCCAAACCCAAAACAAAAACCATGGCCAGTTTACAGAATATTTAGAAACAGGCCCAAAGAGTAAATTTTAAAGTAGAAAATCTGAGAGGCTGTCAGTTTTCCAAAGCCTCTGACAAATACTGTACCAGATACAACTTGCACACAAAGGCGGCAAGCACAGTAATCACAAATACAGAAAGAAGGCAACAACCTAACACAATCATTGCTGTGATATTCCAACAGACAAGACTAGAGATGGAACAGTCACTGTTTGCATGTCAGCGTCTTGATTACTCTGACGAATATCCTTGCCCCTCCTTTGGGGGAACAATTAAAAAGAACTAAGAGTATGAAGATGGCGACTTTCTCCTAGAAAAAAGACATAATAAGAATGTAAGGATAAGGTAACAGTTAGAAAAAAAAACCACAATCCACTTCTTTATTGGTCTTTTTAATTTCTTTCTATCCCTTTGGAAAAATAAAAGTCAGACTGAAGGAAAGAGCACTTTTTTGCTTGCTGAAAAAGATGGAACACAACACAGCTACGGGTGAGACAACCTTTACTGAAAGTAGAGAATGTTGAAAGAAAAGGTATAAGGCAGAATTTGGCTACTTCTAAATAATAATTTTGTTCAAATAAATGTATTTTTATAGTCCAAAATATTGAAAAGGTCTTAGACATAATATTAATAATAGCTTTGTTAATAGAATTTTTCTCATCATAGTTCAAGTTTTAAACATTTCAAATTTTGTGCTTTTAAAAATAATGCTCAAAGACACTGCTTTCTAAATTGCTCCAAGAAAAAGTAAATTACAACATATGCTACTTACTGTAAGCACAAATCCCTCAGTTTTGATAGAACAACTTAACATACTAAGACCTAAGACAGTAGGGCCGCATTCTCACGTTCTGTGTAATCTGGCCTATGCTCGCACAGAATACTCAAAGTCGCAGAAGTTCTGTCATGTAATCTTAACTGCATTTAACATTTTATGTGCACACATCATATATTTATTAGTGACAGCATAAAACAATTTTTTTTAGTTGGTCTAAGTTGCAGAAATAGCAAGAATGGTTTGGCTTGTGTAGGACAGGGGAACAGTCTTGCATATGAGGTGACACACTGCCCTCTGGTGTCATTTTAGTTCTAGAATCTTGACAATGAAACACGTTTTGTTTTGAAAAGTTACTCAAATTAATTTAGACTGAAAGTATTTTAAAGTAATATACAAAAGCAGCCATCTCTACTTTATATCTAAAAAAAAAAAGAAAAAAAAAGGAAAGAAAATCTTAAAATACCTAGAGAAGTTTGGCTCCCAGGATCATCGGCCACTCAGAAAAACAAACAAACAAACAAAACGGAGGAGAGGGCTGAAGATCTGCCAGTTCTCTCTGCAACACCTCTTTTAGTTTTCAGAACACTGAAAGATTTCCCTCATGCTATCTGGGTACTCTGCTTCCCCCAAATGACAAGGAACACTAGAAATGACACAGTTCTAGATGCCTGTGCAGTAAGATGGGTCTTCAAATAGAACCTAAAAATAACAAGGGCTTTGGGCACACTGACAAATCGCCACAGTCACCCACTCAGTGAGCAACCACTTATGTCTGTGTGCTAACACACCCAAGGAGGGACCCACTCTAGGAGGAAGAGTTTTTAGGATATATTTCCCTATAATGTTTAATCTCATCAAGCCAACAGCCATATGGAATACCCTATGTCTTTGAAAGCCATTCACTTAGAAATGGCTGGAGCACAAACTTGCCTCACATTACTGATCAAAGAATAACTAAAAAGTTAATTTAGTTCATAAAACAAACCTGAACAGTTCTACATGGCCTTAGTTATTTTATGTCAGGTAGCTTCACCCGGCTCTACCCAAATTTCTATGTGTCTATCCATGCTATGCAGTCCACATGAAGATTTAAATTTAGTAATGTCCTATTAGATATTTTTTTTCTGGTCTTCTGAGAAACTAAAATAACCCTAATTTTATTTGGTCCCCCAATAGTAAAAAAAAGAAAAATATATATATATGAGATTAGGCTTTGCTAATGTTAAAGTACCATGCTACAAATGTCTTTTTTTTTTTTTTTAAAGATTTTATTTATTCATGAGAGACACAGAGAAAGGCAGAGACACAGGCAGAGGGAGAAGCAGGCTCCATGCAGGGAGCCTGACGTGGGACTCAATCCTTGGTCTCCAGGATCACGCCCAGGGCCAAAGGTGGTGCTAAACCGCCAAGCCACCCGGGCTGCCCACAAATGTCTTTTTTTTTTTTTTTTAAGTTTGCCACTAAAAATAAAGCATTAAAAATTCTCCCAAAGGTATAAAGAATGTACTTGAATTAAAGCTAATGATTAGATTCCTAAGAAGAGTCTTCCACTTGACTAACATGTAATTAATAAAATATGTAACATAATTCTCTCATTCGGATAGGTTACAGCATGTCTGGTATCACATATAACAGTGATGTGATCTTAATTCTTGTCATTGTTTTACTCCTTGTAATCTGGCAAATAATTTTTCTCCTTTCACAATATGATCTTCATGACTAATGAATTCTTCCAGTTATTACTGGAAGGATTTCTTCCTTATGAAATTGGTTAAGGTTTATTTCTAAATGGACTTTATGTGTTATTCAGTGCTTCCTAAGTATGAAGTGTATACCCATTTACTATTTTAAAAGAAAACTTTCCAAGAGTTTAGTCATTAAAAAAGAAATCAACGCATAATTCTGAATATTGACTATTAATTTGTACCTCAGTTTCCATGGTTATTACCATAATTACATTAATTATATTTTTATATACCATAGAATGGTCGCCTACTTTACAGTTAAATGAAGTTTAATATTATTGTCCATTTCAGCATTTTAAAATCTTTTCATAATGAAACGTGTCTAAAGAAGTGATCCATGTGAGAAATGTCACTTGGGCAACTATGCTAAGAACTGCATAATATTCTAGAGAATGACTCCATAGAATGGAGACATGTTGACATATCAGTACAAAAAAAGAAAACTGTAAACCCCAAACTTCTAGCCTAAAGACCAATAAAACATTAAGATTCATGTAAGCTTAATATTTTTGTCTTCCTGTTCCTAGTTTTGGTAGAGATGGAAGGAAGGAAACTAATATTTGTTCTGGTCTACTGTGAACCAAGGCACCATGCTGGTATTCTTTTTACACTTCCCATCTTTGTGGTAGAAGATGCCAGACTCTCAACATCCCCTTTTTCTGTGATGTGGAAACAGGCCTAGAGAATAGAGAAGTTAGGCAGCTGCCCACACCTGACCAGCTAACCAATGTGAGCCTTCCCACGAGGACAATGGTCTTCAAGAGTTTTCTGCTCTCACAAATTGTGGAGAGTTGCATCGGGAACCAGTAACTAAGGCTCCCCAGGTCACTAAGACAATGATTCTTAAATGAGAGGAAGAGTCCTTAGGAGATTCTGATAACTCCAGGCCCAGAACCCCGTTTTTACTATACAGATGATGCCTCAGAGGTCAATGGACTTTAAGAACATGAAGGTACTGGGTGAGCAGCACAGTGGCCACCAGGTCCTTGGTTCTCAATCCCCAAGCCTCCCCACTCTTCTGTGTGGTCATCTGCATTATTAATTTTATTGTACTGGCGAAAGCAAAGTCTTGGTTCAAAACCATTTGGAAAAAGAGAATGCGCAAGGAAAAAGTACAAATATTATAAAAACACATTATATAATATTCATTAAAAAGACAAAGAGCATTAGTTCATGCATTAAGGGCCAAAGAATGAATGGAACTATGTGAATGATCCCAATTCTGCAAAATCTATCCAACGGATTACTGACTTTAACGACTACATGTAGTAAAATACTTTTACGAGTAGCAAAAATAATGTGAACATTTGAAACAGCTCACGATCTTAAACTTACCTTAAGCCATAGCAAGGCAAAGTGAAGAGCCTGAAGAGTGCTAGGAAGACTCTTAGAGGAAGCAACGTGAACACATACAGAAATGCATCCAGGCACAGAAAGATTCCAAAAACCATGAGCTGGATTTTAAAAGGAGAGAAGAAAACAAAAAACAAAACGTAAAAGAAATATTCTCTGAATAACTGCAGATGAAAATTTCAAAAGCGGAATTTCTAAACTGCTGGAGATTCGTTTCTCACAACTTAGCTCAGCTGAGTAACAAGTCAGTAGCTGTACTTTTGTACATGTGTCAATTTAATGAAAAATCCTTTTCAAAGCACAAGTCTGTAGTTCTTCTCCCGGAGCTTTTGGTTTACCACCTAGAAAAGTCAATTACTCAAAATGTAATCTCCCTCAGACCATGGCTATGAAACACTGGATGTGGACTTCCTCAAAATTTAAAGATATTGTAGAAAATCTTTCAGATAGAATCTTTAACTCTAGTCTTCATGATTTCTCAGACTCCTACTTATCAGAGTGCTTCCTGGACGGGAAAGACTAGGACATACATTGAGTTAAAACACTGTCTTTATATCACAAATGTGTAAAAGTAATTACTAATTTTAACAGAATTTCACGTGCGCTCAAACCGGCTGTATTCAGAAGGCATTTTTTTATATATGTTTTTTTTATTGGAGTTTGATTTGCCAACATACAGTATAACACCCAGTGCTCAACCCGCCAAGTGGCCCCCTCAGTGCCCGTCACCCAATCACCCCATCCCCCCACCCACCTCCCCTTCCATTACCCTTTGTTCATTTCCCAGTTAGGAGTCTCTCATGTTTGGTCACCCTCTCTGATTATTCCCACTCATTTTCTCTCCTTTCTCCTATGAAAGAAGGCATTATTCTTCATCAAGGGGTAGCTGCTGATGTTTGCACCTCTTCCCCTATCTTGTGCCCTTGTCCCATCCTTCCTATTTTTCTGTAATGCAATACATTTGTCCTGTTAAATACAGGACTATATTTCACAGGAGGGTGGAGTCTTTTGACGGCTTGAAGTGGCCACGCCCAGGCCACGCTCTGCTATTGCAGAAGTAGTGACTTTCTGTATGTCTGTTACACAAACATGCTACCATCTATATACCCTCACACACAACAGTCCATGTAACTTCAGGCAGTGAATTGTCCTATGTGAATATATTGCGCAGTTGAAATCCACAATGTTATTGGCAGAATCATGTCCTCCCAAAATTCATGTTGAAATCCTAGCCACCAGGACCTCAGAATGTGACCATGTGTGGATATAGGTTCTTGAAAGAGCTAATTAAGTTAAAATGAAGTCATTAGAGTGAGTCCTAATCCAATGTGACTGGTGTCCTTATTAGATGAGGAAATCTGGACATAAACACGGATGGGGGAAAGATAGAAAGATGCGGGGAGAAGACACCATCTATAAGCCAACAAGAGAGGCCTCAAAGAAATCAACCCTGTTGACATCTGATCTCCATTTCCAGCCTCCAGAACTGTGAGAAAATTAAGTTTCTGTGGTTTAAGCCACCTGGTCTAAGGTACTTTGTGACAGTAACCCTAGCAAATCTTTAAAAGAAAGGACGCATTTTATTAACTTTTTGCAAGAATGTCTTAAAAGAATATATATACATATATGGGCCAGATTTCTTGATCAGTACGTAGAGACCCTAAAAGATTTATTTATTTATTTGTTTGTTTGTTTGTTTATTTATAATTTAGACTCGCTACGAACACCAACAAAAGTACCAAGTCCTGTACTGCATGCCAACCACTTTCCAGTCTTCCCTCCACGGCAGCTGGTCAGCCAGGCATCCTGTGTGTTGCCAGCACAGCCACAGTCCTCCATCTGTTTGTTTTCCATACAGAGGAGTGTTGGAGAAGACAGCATGGTCCACATAAAGCTGGTGGCCTGTAGTTATTACTCTTCCATCACCAGGAAGCCTTTCCCTGTTTCCTGGTGGACTGCAGGCTCTACTCCAAAGGCAAAAACTACTAGAAGCCTGCACAACCCAGAAGGTATCTTGGTGTGTGTGCAACAGGAGATAGCATACTAGGAAGAAGAGTGAGTGGTTGTCTTTCTTGTGACCTTACACTGAATGAGCACATTACTCATTCATCCAACAGCTACTAGGCTGCAAATATGTGCCAAGTAACACGCTCAGCCCAGAAGGCACAAAGCCAGGGAGGACACCAGGATGGGATTTCCACCCTCACTAAGCTTATTCACATTTTAGCACTGAGACTGCTGCTCCAATAGAACTAAGTCTACAAGGTACAAGGGAGCCCTAGAGAAAGAATGGTCAAACCAATTTGGGGAGATTAAGAAAAAGCTCCAGAGGAGGCCCTTAAAGACATCGGAGAAAATGAGGAATATTGCCACATGGAGAGGGCAGATTGACAGAAGACGGGCTGGGGGGACGGAAGGGGGAAGACATTTCCAGAGGGGGAGGCAGAGCAAGAGCAGAGAGGAGGAAAGAAATTGTGAAGAGTAAGACCTACTCTTGAAGAAAGCAGTAGAGCCACTTTTCTTTGGCTTAGAGGAATTTGTATTTGCATGATTCATGATGAACAATAACAGAAGTCTACCGGGCCTTTCTCTTCACATTTTAAACCAGCCCTGCAAAACTAAGTGGGCAAGCAATAATCATCTCACACAGTATGGTAAACGTGGACTGCCTGAAGCTGGCAAGGTAATAGACTGCAACATAGAAGTGGAAGGAAATCAAGTGGCTGTGGTCTGGGGAAACGTCAGCTGGTTGGAGAGAAAGCACTCATGTAGTGAGAACACAGGATGCACAAGAAGAGCAACAGAAATGGCTTTCAGGGTTTGGAAATGTGGGAACATGGACTCAATTACTGCCTGCTACTCGGATGGTGCGCTTTCTCATAAGGCACCAGCTCTTGTAAATCCCTTACAAATGAAAACGAGAAAATTTCCTAAAAAAGTAAACAAGATATAACCATAAAAACATTCATTCTTGAAGGAGGTAAGGAAGCCATGCCAGGTGCAGATGTGCCCCAAAGGACACTGCATGGAAATCTCTCTGTTAATTCACACCCCTAACCCCAGCCCCCAGAGTTTGGACGGTCCAGGCAGCAGTGTTTTCTAGGCAAAGTGGTAAGAGCCTGCTACTTACTACTCCCAACAGCTTTTTTTTTTTTTTTTCAACAGCTCTTTGAGGTAGTTATTACCAACCCTACTTGACACTTGAGGAAACCACAGCTCTGGAAGCTGAATGCCTGCCAGAGGCTGGGGGTCAGAGTTAAGGAACTGGCATTGGAGCCTGAGTTGGCCTGACCCAAGACCCTACATACTCTCTCTGAAGCAGTTTAAACACAGCAAAAGATCCCTATTTTTATTAGGCATGGGGGTTAACATCATTTTCTTTGTCCTAACTCTTGCTAATTTGCCTAGTGTCATAAGAAATGCAAATAGACATTTAATGATTCGAACTTATAAAAGGCAAATTTCATATATTTAGACTTACTGCTAACTTTAAAATATGTTACTAAGAATTAAAAGCTTTGAGTATATATTATGAGAATAATATGTACTTTCACACCTTCAATTACTTTGCATAGCATCTTGATAAAATAGGCAATTCATATCTCCTTTTTATTTGGACCAAATAACCATAAGGTATTCAAGCAGTCTTAAGCAATGTCTAATGAAAATACCTCAGAATTATCCAAAGTGGGGCTAGAATGGAATCGGTGTCACATGCCACTCTCTGTTGCCCTTCTAAAAAACACAAAAATCTGCTCTCTTCTAAATGCCACTTAGAGTTTCAAAATGAATACGAGGTCATGAGTAACATTAATGAGGCATAATGCTTTTGGAATGTGCCTCTTTACAGCACAGATGAAAATCTGTCCTAATAGGTAGCAATCATCCGTTGTGCCCAATACTGCCACTCCAGATCTGCTGCGCTCTACATCCTGTAGGATGTAGATCTCACTTTATACCTATCTCACGGCTATAGGGCAGACCTTTTAATGAATATGTCATCTCTAAACTGGCCACTACATAATATGGCAAAGAACCAAAAGAACCAAAGCATGATGAAAATATTTCGAAAAGACATCATATACTGGAGTTTAGGGCTTTTGCTTTTCCATTCTATGCATTTTCCCAGGGATGGAAGATACGATCTATCTATATACATGGTTTTACGTGAAACCTTCCCTGGACTAATATTGAGTTGTTCCTCCTTCTCTCTTAATCACACAAATATTGTACAGCTCTCATGTGGCAGAGACTGCAATAGTTAGATAAAATATATGACCACTATTTTAAGAAGGTCAAAGTCTTAAAAAAAAAAAAAAGTTAAAGTCTGGGCACCTGGGTGACTCAGTGGTTGAGCATCTGCCATTGGCTCAGGTCAGGATCCCAGGGTCCTGGCATTGAGTCCTGCAACAGGCTCCCCACAGGGAGCCTGCTTTTCCCTCTGTCTCTCTCTGCCTCCCTGTTTCCTGTCTCTTTATGAATAAATAAATAAAATCTTTTAAAGAAAAGTTAAAGTCTTGTTAAAGAGCAAACTGCCAAAAACAAAAAAAACAAAAAAAAAACAAACTGCCCAAAGGATTCAAACTCTAACCATGATCCACTGTGAGAAAAATCACTCTAATTCACTACACACACACATTTACATACATTTAACCCCCCCCCCAAAAAAAAAATTCACCAAAATAAGGTTAATTTTTACTCCGTGGAATAAAGGTTGATATCTTCTACTTCTCTTTTTATAAAGCAATTCTGGTCTCACTAAATTCACAACCCACAAAAGAGTGGTAGTAACTCACTGTCTGAAAAACAGGTCCCCAGAGAGGCAGGCTGGTTGGAACTCAGTTCCCTTCACCGGCAGACACAGGGGCAGCGAAGACAGTTCCAAGTGGCTACTCAGCTTTGCAGAGAGTTTTGGAGTTAAGAACACACTGTTCTTTGTACAAAAATCAATGAAAAGCACCAAAACGCAAATTGCAGATATTAAAATTGGGAATATTTCTCTTAAAAATTTATTCTCAGAGTAGGGACTTATTAAAATTTACAGGGACAAATAATTCTTTCAGAATAATCTGCTTAATTAATGAGACAGCTCTTGCTAATC